CCTTTCCCCCCCCCGAGCGCTCTGGTCTCCCCTTCACCCCCGGCGTCTCCCCTCTCCTGAAGCCCATCCCCGCAGGGTATGCGGCCTCATCTACCCTCGGGCCTCCTCCCTCCCCCTCTCTGCTCAGTTTCCCCCTTGCCTCCCCAGACACCTCCCTTTTATTCACTACTGTTTACCTTTTTTTTTTTTTTTTTTTTTTTTTTTAACCTATAGTTTCTGCCTGGCCCATAGAGAAAGATCTGGGGAGGGTGGGGGGTGCCAGAGCTTATATCTTCTCCTGACAAAGGGGTGAGCCCCCGTACAGCCGCTGGGCTGCAGCGGTTTCCCAGGGCCCCAAATATTTAGGGGTTTTCCTTCCCTCCACCCCTGCAATTAATTCATTTAGCCGGGATATCCCAACTGAAATTCATGTTTCTGCTGTTTTAGGAAAGAACCAGCCTTTGCTGGTCGTCCCCAGAGGGCGTGGTCGCCCTGGCAAGAAGGTGACGAGGGGAAAGCAACATCTTCACCATCCGTAGGGTGACTTTGTTGTCAGATGTCCCACCGGCATTAAACTTCATACGCTATGGAAGACCCTAATTAGCCCAACGTGGTGGGGTGCTCCTGCACGACTTCTTGGTTTACCTCTGGCCGTTTATATTTTCCTGTGAGTTTTCATGGATTTAGAGACTCAAGTCGCGTTTTAAAGCTTTTTTTTTTTTTGCCGTAGCATAACGGGATAGCACCTGGTCAACGCTGTCTTGGCTAAGCCAGGAAGGGTATCCAGCCTGCATGGACAGGGCAACATTCGCCTGTTCCACTGCCTTTTTTCGTGACTACAGCAGTTCATCTCAGGGTGCGTTCTGCCTCCCCGGAGGACACGTTGACTTTATTGAAAAAGTAGAATCATTCACTTACTCGGACTTTTTCCGGGATTATTTGATTCCCAACCATCCCTGTATTTTCTCAGCTAAATTCACTGAAGACTGGGGCAGCAGGAGAAATTGGGTTACTTGGGATGGAAAGCCTAACTTTGATCATCTGCTGCAGAAGTTTGGTAAGTCATGGCATTATTAATACCTAATTAAAACGTGTATGCTAAATGACACGGCTCTTTTTTGATCTTAGGAATAGAACCGCTAGACAAAACCAAGCAATTCTCCAGACTTTTTTCTAAGTTAATATGTTCATTTCCTCTACTTCCTCATAATTCATGTTTCGCAGATTCCAATCTCGAACTTATTCCCGTAATGAAATAAAATAAAAAGTGTTGTATAATTTAACCATACCAATTTATATACCTGCTTAACTTTAACCAGAGGAGCAGCCTGACACTTTCCCCAGGCAAGGGGAAAGTATTCTGCAGTTACAGTGAAATACCTCTTCAGGCTGTAAAATATTAGTATATTTAATAGGAATCAATACCCCACTCCTAATGTAGTTTAAGGGGAAAATTTCAGGTCACATTAAGTAAATAACTTCTGGCCTGAATCATGTTTGCCTAGAGTGATGGTGCTGGGTGTGAGAGCTGGACTAGGGGTTGTTGCTTTATGTGTTTGTACTGTATTTAGCATGATAGGGCCCAGATATTAGAGGCTGCTGCAGTGGATAAGGTCCTCGTGTGGGCTCAAAGAGTTTATATTTCAGGAGAGGCTGTAGTACCTGTTGCCAACTGTGATGTCAAGGAGTACAATTCTAACCCGAAGGAGCAGCTTCCCTTCAAGGAGTATGTAAAGTACTGGAAGGAGTACATTAAAAATGACTACCGTTCATCCCGAGGGTGCCTTTATCTAAAGGACTGGCACCTGAGCAGGTAAGAGAGCACTGTGGAAACCCCTGCATGCCGCGCACAGCAAAGAGCTGCCGCGGAGCCTTAATGCTCGTCTTCTAATGCCTGAGCGTTTAAATGCCGGCAGCGCTGTTGGTTAGCCACCTGCCCACCAAAATACCAGTCTTGTACTGCACTGTTCTTGGGGTACTTCACTCGACAAGATCCTTAAACGGGTCATTGTTTCCTGAAGAGGCTGACGTTCTCCAGCGCTTTCCTTTTCAGCTACCTTTTAAATGACTGTATGCTATCCCTGTGGAAACCGTGTGGCTGTAACATTTGGCTTTTGTTTGACTGGTAAAGTGCAAACCTTACTTCTTAAAAAGAAGGGGGACGTTTCCAATTATGTTTAATTCAGTGAGCGTGTGCAAGTTATAATCCTTTATTATCCATTTTCTTTTCTGTTAACCTTTCCAGTCGTTAAAGGTCTCTTCACCCTGTGCTGGCTTTCCTTCTCCTCCAGCCTGCTGCTTGCAAGGTGGATGCATTGTCCATTCCCCATGTCTGTGTAGGACTTTTATGTCTTTTCACTCAACTCTCTGCTTCCTTAAACGTATCCTGCTCTTAATCCAACCTTCTTGTGATCACCTCTTGTTTTCATTTTCGAGCGTGCCAGTGACTTACGACAGAGGAAGTTTGTCAGTCTCTGCCTCCCTGTTTGTCTGCTTTCCCAGGCGCTGGTGCTGTCTCTCGCTGCAGAAAGTCTGCACGTGCAGCCTAGGATGGGAAAGGGGCAGCATATCCTGTGGGAGGAGGCCACACACTTGTCAAAATCCCTCAGCCTGGCTTCCCTCCTAACCCTCGCACCTCCAACCTGTCATCCAGTTGGACAACCAGTCTTGCAGGCGTCTCATCTAAAGAGGATGTGTTTATTAGGAACTGTCTTCGCCATAATTAGGAGTCTCCCAAATAGTAGTTAACCTTCACAGCTTTCCTGGGAGACAGAAAAGCACTGCTGTGTGCACGTTGCGTGCAACTCAGAGTTGTCAATAATACAAAGGAAATGGCGGCAAAGTCTTAGTGGCCTGCTGGAGACCCGATTGGTCTCTGCATCTGGGTTTTGGGAACTGAAGTAGAAGGAGCAGTGCTGCGTTTTTCTGAGACGGATTTCCAACACGTTATCTTTTTAAGAGCTTTCCCCGAGCAAGATGTTTATACAACCCCTGTGTATTTCTCATCCGACTGGCTGAATGAATACTGGGATGCTATAGCTGTGGATGATTACCGGTTTGTCTACATGGGACCTAAAGGTTCATGGTAAGGCAGTGTGGTTTCTGTCATTCTTACGTACTCACTTTTAAGATTTAGTATTACAGGGGGTTATCACATTGTACTTCAGGATAGCATCATGCTGCAGAGGCAGTGTGTGGCGATGCGGTATAGTGTTGTACCTGAACCCAGCCAGTCCCGTTTCTCCAGCAGCCCATTTGGTTCTGGATGTGAGCTGTCCTTATGCAGTCAGCTAAAGTGCTTTTGCGCTTCAAAAAGCTCTGAATTGTGCACACAAAATCTGAAAAAGTTGTCAGCTAGCTTATATAAGGTTTTAGAGCAGAAACTCCCTGGGGATTATCAGCCACTTGTGATTTGCAGAGTCAACAGAAGCCTTGGAGGGGCGCTGATGAGTTGGTCAAATATTTTGCAGGTGAAAAGTTAAGTCCAGCATTGGTGATAAAGTTGCGTTTACAGTATTCTCATCGGTTCACATCACAGAATCTCCTGCCGTTGAGGTATTTGTGGGACAGATTCAAAACTAACTGATGGAGAAGCACAGAGGCTTATAGCTGCAAAACTATGTAGACGTAGTGGCCTTTTAACACTTAAAGCAGTCAAAATTAAATGAAGAGCATGACACTTTGGGACCAGGTTTGCATAAGAAAGGTTGATTTCCGTGTGTATGTCTGGTTCTCAGAGACTTTAATTCATTTTACGGCTTTTAGGCGTTGTCTTTACTTAAATATCTGATTTGCCCCACAGGACTCCATTCCATGCTGATGTCTTCCGTTCCTATAGCTGGTCAGCCAATATATGCGGGAGAAAGAAATGGCTGTTGTCCCCCGCGGGACAGGAGGAGTACCTGAAGGACCGCCATGGCAACTTGCCCTTCGACGTGACTGCACCTAGTCTTCAGGACAGGAGTGTTTACCCTCGCTACAACCAAAGTCAACCCCCTGTTGAAATTGTGCAGGAAGCAGGGGAGATAGTCTTCATCCCCAGTGGATGGCATCATCAAGTTTACAATCTGGTAAGATAACTGACACCAAACGTTTCGTAACAGCGATAATCCGGCAGCAGGCTTGAATCAGATCAAACTTTTATTGCCACAGCATGTTGTGGATGCCAAAAGTCTAACTGGGCTGCAAAAAAGTTTAGAGAGATTCACAGAGAAAAGATCTATCAGTGGCCGCTCAAGATGACGGCTAAAAGCAGGCCTGGACTCACAAGCTCCTTGGGTCGTTGGCCACTGGAAGCTGGAAGAATGTACAATTGAAGAAGCTGTCTGAACCCTCTTTTCTTGTGCTTTTCCTCATTAGATGCTACTAGTCACTGAGAAACAAGATGCTGGGTGAGATGGACTTAGGGTGAGGCTGTTAATCTTGGTTTCTAACTGTAAATTGTAATTTAATGGAAAATGCTGACAAATTGGTCTTCATGACTACAAACCAAAATTAACAACCTTGTTCCTTTCTCCCCACCACCTTCTCCCGCCTTTGTGCCCTTAAAAGGTATGCTCAGACAGAGGAACTAGAGACGTTTGCCGGTTTACAGAGTGAAACAAGATTTGATTGTTCATAGAATCATAGAATCACTGAGGTTGGAAAAGACCTCTAAGATCATCGAGCCCAACCGTTGACCCAACACCACCATGTCCACTAAACCATGTCCCTAAGTGCCTCATCTACATGTCTTTTAAATACCTCCAGGGATGGGGACCCCACCACTTCCCTGGGCAGCCTGGTCCAATGTTGAACCACTCTTTCAGGAAAGACATTTTTCCTTCCATCCAATCTAAACCTCCCCTGGAGCAACTTGAGGCCATTTCCTCTTGTCCTATTGCTAGTTACTTGGGAGAAGAGACTGACCCCACCTCGCTACAACCTCCTTTCAGGTGGTTGTAGAGAGCGATGAGGTCTCCCCTCAGCCTCCGTTTCTCCAGGCTAAACAGCCCCAGTTCCCTCAGCCGCTCCTCATCAGACTTGTTCTCCAGACCCCTCACCAGCCTCGTTGCCCTTCTCTGGACATGCTCCAGCACCTCAATGTCCTTCTTGTAGTGAGGGGCCCAAAACTGAACACAGTATTCGAGGTGCAGCCTCACCAGGGCCGAGTACAGGGGCACATTCAGGGACATTAGAGACAGCCTTTCAGCACGGTGGTGGTATTGGTACCAAAGAAGCATTGCCCTCGCTGAGGAATACGATTTTACGTTTTGCAGCATCGGTGTTGTTACAGTTGTTTTCTCACACTTTCCTGTGTAGAACCTAGTAACCATTTAAATTATTCCTTCAGGAGGATACCATTTCCATTAACCACAACTGGGTGAATGGCTGCAATGTGGCTATAATGTGGTGCTTCCTGCAGGATGAATTAGCAGCTGTCCAGCGGGAAATCAATGAATGGAAGGACCCTATGGATGATTGGCACCTACAATGCCAGGTATAACAACGTGATGCTGGCTGCCTGGCTCTCTATTAGAGGATCATATATTTCCAGGGTGCATTGCACCACCTTGTGAGTTCTAAGACACACAAGTCCTTAACCTCATACCTGGAATTAGTACGTTTCATACGGAAGTAGGAACTGGTGACAGCTTCATTTTGCAGGAAATCAAATATTACTTTAGTAAGATAGGGAAAGGCCTGTGCCCATGCGTATTTGCTATGTCAAGGAGGTTAGGATTTTGTCTGAAAAACTAATGCTTCAACTGCTCTTCTTCAACTATCAAGGTTAGTATTAGCATCGAGATCAATCCTTTCTGTAGTATTGACGTTCCCCTTTATAAAATATAAGTGCTTTTTCATGTAAACAGAAGAACTGATAAGACAGACCCCACACAGAAGAACTGGTTTGAAGACCATTCATGACGAAACCGTGAATCTGAAACAAGCAAAATGAAGGTGAGGGCGGCAGCAGGTTTCTGCGTCTGCAAAGTGATGCTGTCAGAACACGTAACTGTACTGAGCAGTGTTGTATCTTGGACGCTTCCAAAATCTTAAGCATGAAACACATCTAAGGTTTATTTCTGGAGGCTGTTACTGCTGCTAGGTTGATAGCCTTCAAAAATAGTTTCAAAAAACACAGCCATTTAGTACTTAGAAGAAACAGACTGTTGCTTTTGGGGCTAGCGGCATTTCAAGTAAGATAAAGAATTTTAGTGCCATCAGGGAATTTAAAAAAAAGATGAAACATGGTTACTCATGATTCCAGATAGTTACTAGCTTGATAAAATACATTTTTGTAATTCTTACCCTAAATGAGAGAGAGGTGTTTCCATTTCAGTGCTGTTTTTTTTCCCCTAGTTGATCATGAAGTCTTGCACGGGTATAGACTACAAGGAGTTCTACAACTTCCTCAAAGTTATTGCAGAGAACAGGATTTCTGTCTTGGAAAACGGCCTCGATGACGAAGCTTTGGCAAAGAACACTCCAAAAGCTGCCATTTCCACCTTGGGCATGCTCCATGCGGTGTTTGATTTGAAGAGGACTGTGAAGGTGTTAACATCATTGAGTGCTAATGAAGATTTCAAGAAACTAGACCTGACGTCACTTTCTCCACCTCCGGAGGCATTGCTCCACCACTTGAAAGCAGCAATAGATACAGCACTGCTCTAACTTCCTATTTATTCAGTTCTTTGTAAAATGAACCTTTTGCAAAATGGGTGTTTGTAGAAGACTGACTCCTCCCTGTTTAATAGCTGTTGCAGTTCAAGTACAAAGAGCCTTAATATAGAGTGGGGAGAGAGTACATTCATGAGAAGACTGGATGCTTTTTAAGTTGACAGCATTTGAGTGTCTAGAGTAATTGGACAGGGAAAAAAAAATCTCAGATAAAGGAAAAACCCAAATCATGTTAGTATTATATTATGAGCCCTGCTGGTGATTATGCATTCAGGGAAGGGGAACAGAAATTCTCTGTGGATCAAGCTTAGGTCTGTCGGGGCTAAACACTCGGATTGCAGTGGTCTGCACCATAGTCCCTCTGCTTCTGAGGGCGCTGTATACAGACAGCAAACCTGCACTGCAGACTCCAGCAGTTAAGCTCCGCTTTGGCTGGTCACACCTAAATTACTTTAAGACCTGTTCTGCTTCCAGGTGCAGCTCAGCCTTTCTTTTACTTTGCTTTTCTTTTCTTTTTTTTAAATATTAGAGGACCTTAGTTAGTTAGCTTCCCTTGAAGCCTGAGCTGGCTCAACAGCTGTAGCCTGGATGCGGAGGAGCTGACTGTACTATTTTCCTGTACAGTGGCATCTCTTTAAAGCTGAAAGTCTCGGGTAGAGTCAGCCTTCATGCGGCCCCGGGGTCTGAAGGGTTACCTTTAACATATCAGGAAGCTGGAGTCCTGATAGCAAATCTGCCACGAATAATTTAAGCGTGTGATCCACCCCAAGCTCCAAAGGAGGAACCTGAATGTACTCCCACATTTCTACACACTATTTCAAGGCACAGTATTTTATCAAGCAGAGATTTGAGTTAGCTTCCCTTGAAGCCTGAGCTGGCTCAACAGCTGTAGCCTGGATGCGGAGGAGCTGACTGTACTATTTTCCTGTACAGTGGCATCTCTTTAAAGCTGAAAGTCTCGGGTAGAGTCAGCCTTCATGCTGCCCCAGGGTCTGCAGGGTTACCTTTAACATATCAGGAAGCTGGAGTCCTGATAGCAAATCTGCCACGAATAATTTAAGCGTGTGATCCACCCCAAGCTCCAAAGGAGGAACCTGAATGTACTCTCACATTTCTACACACTATTTCAAGGCACAGTATTTTATCAAGCCGAGATTTGATTAATCAGGGAAGCTAGCAAGTAGCCTCATATTATCTCCTAAAAAAGCCATGCTGTTAACACACCAAATAGCACTACTGCATGGTTACATAGCACAATTTGCAACCTGAATGCTACCCTTGGGCTAGAAGAGTATTTCCAGTGAAGTATCCCTCTTGCTTTTACTGGTTGGTGAGAAAGCCTAGAAGCACAAATGGCTGCACACTGTTACCTTAGTTGCCTCTTTAGGGCTCACTTGAATTATAGCTCAAGAACTTCCTCAGTTTTCAACCAGATGACCAGTAAGAGCAACTTCAGAAAGTGCAATAGTAGAAATCTTCAGTAGGCTGAAAAATCTCATTGTTTTCTAGATAATCCTGTGGACTTTGTACACGCATGCATTTTGCATGTCCTATTTTCTAGTAGAAGTTCTGTATTTTGAGTAGGAAGCGGTACCTGAAATTAAAATCAATACCCAGAGCATGGAAGAAACTCTTTTTTTTTTAACAGCTGTGACTACATCTCAGTGATTCAACCTTCTGGCAGGGTGTTTCTTTGGACTGGAAAACTGCCAGTTTTAAGCAACTCCAAAATTAAAAGCTCACAGCTGTTACTTACAGCTGTTTACATGCTCAGAGACAGGCAGCTGGAGCTTTCTTCCCTAGATGAATAGGGTGAGATTTCATAGAGGTGAGGAACAATGGTTTAAAGCTGACAATCGGTGTGTTGGTAGGAAAGTATGGTTTTGGTCTTGTATTCCCCAGTCTCGCTGCACGTTGTGTAACTGGTACTGGCACCAACCACTTTAAACACTGCAATTTTATAAAGGGTTTGCTTAGATGAACAGTGCTTTTCCTTTCGTGTCCCATGAAGCTGGAACTGCTTGGCTTTGCTGTGTGAAAAAAGCAAAAACAGAAGCTTAGCTTTTACACCGAGAACCCAGCGTCTCAACGTACCCAGGACCAGTTTAGCCACTGCACTGTCCAGCAGACTACATCCTCATTTGGATGGATGGCGTGAGTTTGCTGCGATGCAAGCCTTCAGGCGGCAGTTCTCAGGGAAGAGGCATCCTTTCTGCAGCTAGTTCCCGTTCCCTGTGGAACACTGATAAGGGAGAAGATAGGCCAGCGTGGTAGGGCAGCGAAAGAGGCGTTCGAGTAAAGGAAGGGAGGGTCGCAAGTCCTCGCTCTCCCTTTCTCTTCACCCGAGCTATCTCTGCACCGCAGCATCTTCAGCTCTGACGATGTGTAACAGCCCTCCTTCATAAGGCCTGCTAAGGCTTAGTGTGATCAGTGCGAGACAACGGGGTAAAAAAATAGTAGTTTAATTCCAGGAAATGATCTTAAAGTTTAAGCCATGTTCTCCTTACTGATTCGGCAGGGAACAGAAGCACAAGAGTTAGTTTTACTGATTCAGTCTCTCTTACAATTACGTTAGGAAACTAATTTGTAGTTCAAGTTCTCCATTCCCATGAACGGTCAAGGCAGTAGGGGAGCCACACGTTTTCTAAAGTTAAAGAGAGGAAAGCAAATTCTCAAATGCCTGAAGACAGCAACAAGATTGGAATAAGAAGTATGCAAGCCTGGAATCTCTTAAAAATTAACCAGCTTTATTTAAATACAAAGTTACTGCAAAACATACATTAGGATACTCTCATACCAATATATTAACTATTGTAATCAGTGTGCTATTTATTAAAGCATAATACTTGTGATAAACAGGAGGAAACAGCTTGTAGAGTTTTGTTTTGTTTTCCTGAAGTCACAGAGCTGGACAATAAAAAGTCAAACTGTAAAAAAAAAAAAAAAAAAAGGAGGTTAAAATCTAGTTCAAAAGAGCTTTTGCTCTAATATGCAACTCAGACATTAGTATTTTTGTCTGATAGGAACAGGATACCAAATATCCATTTGCCTTTTATAAAGGCAGCGTAAAACCCAGCCCAGTTCTAATCTGATTTGTACCCCACTGGCGTCAGCGGGTGATCTGTCAGCACGAAGCTGTGCACCTAGAAAAAACAGTGGGTTTGCAGCTCTGTCAGTGCAGAAAGCCAGGTGGGTTTATGTTTTGTCTCACCAGGATTTGAGATTTCTCACCCCAGGACAACAAATGTCCTTTCTATTAGGCACACACGAACCCCTGCAGAATTACAAAGCAGCACTAAGCATGGTCAAGGTGCAAGTGTGATATCCCTGAGATTTAACAGGAGTCTGCAGAGTATAAATACACGCTTGTAAGTATCGTAAAACGAGGAAGTTAGTCAGTAGCAGCTTTACAATGCAATGGAGAGGTACTGAGTTTGGCATGGGTAGGAAGAGGAATGGAAGAACCTTCCTCTTGGGGATACAGGAAAAGCCACCTCACTCCAGGAACAGGTTGTTCAGGAGCACGGACAGGAGAGGCCACCTCCATGCCACGTTTCTGCCAACCAGAAATAGTCCCACCAAAACAGGTCTTGTGGTTTCATTTGATGGCTTTCTATAAAATAACCTCTTCTCCCTTATGTCACTTTACCAGTGCAAAACAAACACAGCATCTGAGAGAATGGTTAAACGAGGTTTCAAGGCAAATTGCTGTTTGCAGGAAAGTGAAATAAAACTATAGGGCAAAAGAAACCTTGGCCGCTTTCCACAAAGAGATTCCCAAACACGAGCCGAGGTTGCGTATTGAAGGCTTTTCGCCCACAGCGTCCGTACGTCGGTGCTTTACGATCGTAGCTAGTCCAAGAGAAAACCCAGCAAGAAACCCTCATCTGATAAATATCCGTTCTTCCCTTTTTAAAGGCAGCCAGGAGAGCAGAGACTTGCTTCTTCATCCAAGTGTTTGGTCAAGAAAGTGCAGCAGGGAGGAGGCTCCCTTCGGGTCCTCGGGCTCAGGAGCTGTGAGTCACGGGGCAGTTCTCTCTTTGGTGGAGTCTCATTCTCTGTATGTGCTCGTAGCATGACTGGGCAAGGAACAGAGCAACCCGTTAAGGAGAAGGTTTGGAACTTTGGGCCTGGGTCTCTCGCACAAAAAGTGAAGCCATGCTGCCCCACAGGCCAGACAAAAGATTAAATCTGCACATTATAAATTAAAAGATAAGCATATTCTCTAGACTAGAAGGCAAATAACACCTGTGCTAGGCGTATAAACAGCCCTCTAAAATTAAATGAGAGTATAATGCATCAGTGTCTCTGCTACTCACGAAAGGCTAATGCAGCTTGCAACTGTCACTTGAAAACATTTCCTTACCTCCAGTGCTGTTAACAGAAAGTCGTACAGTCCTCCTTGATTGGTGGGGTCCATCAAGTCTCTGATCAGATGGATTTCAGCTCCCAGGTGCTGTATTCTAGGGGGGAAAAAAAAAAAGTCACAACTAGAACAAATCTCTGGGCACCGGTGCTTGCGGGCGTATGTGTGGCCAGCAGGAGGAGGGAAGTGATCGTGCCCCTGTACTCGGCCCTGGTGAGGCCGCACCTCGAATACTGTGTTCAGTTTTGGGCCCCTCACTACAAGAAGGACGTCGAGGTGCTGGAGCGTGTCCAGAGAAGGGCAACGAGGCTGGTGAGGGGTCTGGAGAAAAGTGATCGTCCCTGTACTCGGCCCTGGTGAGGCCGCACCTCGAACACTGTGTTCAGTTTTTGGCCCCTCACTACAACGTCGAGGTGCTGGAGCGTGTCCAGAGAAGAGCAACGAGGACGAGG